CATGAAATGCTTCTTCTAATTATGTGGTTATTAAATAAATAATTTAAAAAAATAAAAATATCATAAAAAAAAAACACAGGCCAGATCACCCACTCTGTTTCTGAGGCAAACATCAAAGACAGACTTCTCTTTGGACACACAAAGGGAACAGCCCCCATCCCTGTAGAATTTACTTTCCTCCAGCCTCACACCAGATGGGTTTTAAGTTCTTCCTTATGCAGTACTGTTAGCTCTTGGCCTTGTCTGTCCAAAGGCTGTCTGGCAAAGTTCCCTGAGTGTGAATTGCTGCAAGTGTCACAGATTCCTCACTACTGACCACCCATTCCTTCAGTCGATTCTCTGGTAACCAGAGATTAAAAGCCCCCCATTAGTTTCACAGTCTTTTACTTCTACCTGTCTGTCTGCCACTTATCAGATGTATCTCATTTCTGGTTGTTATTTCAATGTAGGCGCCTGGCATCTGTTTCATTTGCTGCTTTTGGAATATGTGACTCACATAATCGAGTCATGCATAGAGGAGGAAGAGGAAGAAGAGAACCTGTGCAGTCTCCAGGACTTGCTGTCAGATGACCAATTTCTCAGCCAGCCAGAGCATACCCTTACTCACTCTCTAGATTCTCTGCCAGCATCAGAGTGTGCCAGCCAGAGTGTGGAGTCCCCTGAGGCAACACTGGAACACATGAGTCAGAGCTGTGGGCCTGTGGCCTTGAGCAGCATAGTTCTCCAGGTGCTGGGCTTCCTGGTGGACACCGCCACAGGCAATAAGGTAGAGACATCCCCTCCCCTCCCCACACATGAGTTGTTTCAAGGGAAATAAAGACCTCAAGATGGTTAGGAAACCCATGATGATCATATGGTCTGAATAATGATGTAGGGTTCCCGAATCTTCCTCGTTTCAGGTCATTTTGTCAGGGGTGGTTTTAACAGCTACCCACCCTACCCACCACTACTCAGCTCAGGTATGTAGTACAGTAATCCATGCCTGGTGTGGATTAGAAGGGTGATATCTGGGTATCGAGAGTTTGCCTTCACACATCTGATATGACCAAGCCAGAAGTACCAGAGTGACCCTGGTACCCACAGTGCCCACCTAGTTTCTCCATCTTATTGATAAATGGATTTATAAACAGACACAGAAGGGAACCTGAGGAGAATTTTTTTGGAGTTACACAAAGTGGGCATGCTTTGAGCCTTGGGGTAAAGATGGGGGAAGGGAGGAGGAGATGCAAGAGGAAGAGATAGAAAGTTCCACACTCTAATAGAGCAAACAAAAAATACCTTGGGGAACTGGACACATAGCTTGGCAGTTAAGAGCACTGTCAGCTCTTGCATAGGACCCAGCACCTACATGGTGGCTAACAACCATCCATAACTCCAGTTCCAGGGAAGTCTGATGCCATCTTCTGACCTTTATGGGCACTGCATAACATGGACTTACATACATGCAGGCACTTATACACATAAAAATAATAGCCGGGCATGGTGGCGTGCCTTTAATCTCAGCACTCGGGAGGCAGAGGTAGGCAGATGTCTGTGAGTTCAAGGCTAGCCTGGTCTACATAGTGAATTCCAGGATAGCTAGGGCTACAGGAAGACCCTGTCTCAAAAAAATAGTAATAATAAAATATTTTTTTTCTTTTTTCTTTAATAACCACATGATTAGAAGAAGCATTTCATTACAGCTTTAACATATTCAGTAACAATTTCCAGAGCAAGGATACATCTCTTTCAAAAGTGGCTGTAAATTTTTAGGTTCACAGTTGAATTAATACAGTTATACAATATTGAACTCAGTATAAA